AGGGGTCTGGTCGGGCCAGAAGCGCTGGGGAGGCCGCGCTCGCCTGGTGGAGCGGTGCGAGCGGTGCGGCGGCCGTGAGGGCCTGTGAGTGCTTGGTCTGGCACGGGAGGGCGCGACCCTCGGGGTAGCAGTCCCGCTGCCCACCTCCTGCGCCCCGGCGCCCTCTGGTCCCCCTAACCTTCAGCAGCACTGCTGGGGCCGTCTGGTCGGGGGGTCCCGGTGCTCTTTTTCCTCCGGTGCTTCTTCCGGTTGGAGTGGGGAGATGGGGGAGGCTCCAGCTTGGGGCTGGAACTGAGCACCTCAGCTGGGCCACTGGCTGGTGAGGGGAGAGCGGGAGACGTGTGGGAAGGGGCGGGCACGTCGTGCCAGCGCCTGGCCCCCCTCCCTCCCCGGGCGGCGGGGTGAGCCGGCCCTCACCTCTCCCCGGGGAGGGCCTGCCCAGCGGCACCCAGGCCCCAGAGCGCCGGGGCCGCGGGCACGGGGGACCGGGGGTGGGCTGGGAAGCCAGGCCGGGTGGGTGAAGGCGGCGACGCGGCCCTGTGCAGCCTGGAGGGTGGAAGGCGGCCGGGGACGCGGGGAGCTGAAGCCCCAGCAGCTCCGCACCAAATTTATCCTCAATCACACTCCCCGCTCCTCACAATTAATAGCAGAATTAGAAACAATCAGGGAGCTGCCTAATTACTGTCAATTAGAGCGCGCTAATCAAGCTCCCGTCTCCCACACCCCGCCCGGTGCTCACCACTAAATGTCAAACTTCATTAGAGGCAGACACCCGCCGCCCTCCCTGCCTTCCTCCTTCCAGGCTCAACAGAGGCCTGGGCCGGCCCGCCCGCCTGGGCCGTGCCCGGGAAGCGCCCCAGGGCCCCTCAGCCTCCTGGGGGCCAGGACTCGGGCCAGGGGCTGGCAAGCTGGGCTGTGCGCGCCCCTGCGCCTGCGTGGCTCGGGGGGACGAGTGCTTCTGGGGCTGGGGGCTCCCGAAGGGCCTCGGGGAAGCACACCTTGCTGAAGACTGACCGGAGCTCTGGCCTGCGGCCCCTAGCGGAGCTGCAGCGGGCATGGGGTGCCTGGGCTGCCACCCCACCCGCCTCCCTCCGGAGGAAGAGCTGTGCCTCTTCCCGTGGCCTTCAGAGCCATGACAGGCTCTGGGCCAGAGGGTGGGTGCGGGGGAGAGGGAGTGGGGGCAGGAGAGGCTCCCCGAGAGGCAGGCAGAAGGAACAGGGGAGGGAAGCACTGCAGTGTGAGCAAGGGGCGAGGAGGGCCAGGGCGACACCTGGAACCACCTCATGGACACACGGCCTGTCCAGGAGGCAGCCGGGAGGGACCCCCTTTCCAGACAGCTCCCCGGAACCCGGGTGCAGAGACCAAGTCTCCAGGCAGCAAATCGCTGCCCTCAGAACAAGCCCAAGGCCCGCGGCCTCCGACCCCCCTACGCAGCCGCTCCAGGGCCCCCTGTAGCGAGGCTGATGAGCTGGCCGCGCAGGGGGCTGATGGGATGCGGGCGCCAGCGCAGCCCGGGGACGGGCCAGGCAGTGGAGGGGCCGCCGGGCCTCCAGCCAGCCGGGGAGCGGGGGCACGGGAAGGGGCAGGCAGCCGCAGGGGCTGGAGAGGGGTAGAGCCCACTCCCCGTCCCCGGGGGGTGCTCAACTCTGCACCCCAGCCGGGCACCCAGGCCCAGCGTCCCAGGCCACGGGTCCTGCGTACCTGGGGGCAGGGCAGCCGCCTCACTCCACTGGTCAGCGCTGGAGACGGAGCAGGAGCGCTGGTGCAGCCCCTCGGGGCGCGGGCCAGCCCAGGCCGGACTGCTGGCGGGGTGGGGGCCACCTGGGGGGGAAGGTCAGGCTGCGAGGGGGGCTGGGAAGGGCCCACACACACCTCTGGAAAACAGGCTGACGGCAGAGCCTGAGAGCCCGACAGGACGCTACCCCGAACGGGGGGGATCCTGGGTGACCAGGCTCAGGGCCCGGGCTATGGGGGCGGAGGGGCAGCCCCGCTCTGCGAGCAAATGTCCGCAGCTCAGCCCCTCTCTGGGGTCCCGGAGCTGCTCGGGGCAGGCGGTTCTGCCCCAGCACGGCGGCTGCCGGCCCGGCCACCCTGCAGCCCTTCCCTCCGGGCCAGGCCCTGACCCCACGCGCTGTCCGCAAACGCCATTTGCTTCGCCTCAGCTTTGCTGCCATTCTGACGAGAAATAAGTGTATCAAATTCAAGTAATTATGTCTAATTAGTATTAGTAATTATCCTGTTGGGCTGGAGAAAATTAATCTTTCGTCTCCCATCAGGGAAGAACGGCAGAGCCGAGGAGGGGAA